CCCCGCCCAGGTGCTCCTCCGACGCTCTCCAGCCACTGCCCTGCTCGGTGACCCCAGCTCCGGTTCCCTCGCTGTCCCCCGGCTCCAGTGTCCCCGCCGGCCCCCACAGGACCTTCCGCGGGCTCCGGTGTCCTTTGCCCCAGCTCTCAGGGTGCCCCCAGGTCCTGACCCCGGAACCTGAGCAGCTGGGAGATCGGTTCCACACGGAGCCCTGCCGGGTTCTGGGTCGCCCCGGGGTGGGGTGGAGATGGCCAGGGACAGGCCTGCCTGGCCCCCAAGAACTGACTCGCCTCATTGCAGGGACTCCACCTCCACCTCGTCTACCGGGCCTCTCTCCTCCCAGCCCCGCTCGGATGCAGGGAGCCAGGTAAGGGCAGGAAGGCGGGCTGGGCAGGGCTGGGGAGGCCCCCTCACCCTCGAACTCCTGTGTCCCCACAGGCTGCCTCTTTGCCTCCCGCTCTGTCCCTCCAAGCCCGCCGAGGCTGAGAAGGAAAAGGCAGGTACGGGGTGCGCTCAGACCTCGGGCTGCTGAGACCCGGGCCATGTCCGGCGAGTGCCATCTGCGGCCCCCAGGCTGGGAGGGACTGGACTCTGCTGGGGCTGCCTCGCCCCTGGCTTCAGTCTGCCCGCAGTATGGCCTGGTGTCAGGCATGGAGGGGACTGATTCCCGGGGTCCACCACCCCCAGGTCCGCAGGGCCCACCCCACCGTCCACAGCGAGACGAAGTACGTGGAGCTCATCGTCATCAATGACCACCAGCTGGTAGGTGCCTGGCCTGGGTGTGGCCCGCGGGGCGCCTCGCAAGGAGCTGCCCCTCCTTCTCCCCCAGTTTGAGCAGATGCGGCAGTCCGTGGTCCTCACCAGCAACTTTGCCAAGTCTGTGGTGAACCTGGCAGATGTGGTGAGCAGCGGCCCGCCCGCACCCCTGACCCCGCCACACACTTGTGGGGGCTGGCAGGACCCCCTTCCCTGGAGAATACTGAGGCCTCCCACCCCCACACCCCCTACCCTCTCTGGGTCCAGATCTACAAGGAACAGCTCAACACCCGCATTGTGCTGGTCGCCATGGAAACATGGGCCGATGGGGACAAGATCCAGGTGCAGGACGACCTCCTGGAGACTTTGGCCCGGCTCATGCTCTACCGGCAAGAGGGGCTGCCAGAGCCCAGCGATGCCACCCACCTCTTCTCGTGAGTGCCACCCCGTGCGCCCTGCCCCTCGATGGCTGCCTGGCCACGTGTGTCCAGCTGGCCTCCCGGTGCCCTGGCCAGGGAGCCTGGGCCGGGTGTCCAAGTCCCACGGTCTCCTCTGCCCTTCAGGCCGTCCCAGCTTCCTTCCTGGGGCCTGGGGCCTGGCACTGGAGACAGTGGAGTAAAAGGGCCTCCTGCCAAGACTTGAGCCCACAGAGGCAGTGAGGTCACAGGCCTGACCACGGGGCACTGCAGGGCCGCGGGCCCTGCTGACA